TATATATATATTCATACATATACACATATACTCCCCCCAGCAATGCATATATCATATATTATGTAATATGCCCTGCAAGGTTCAAGGTTGCAGCCTGTAATCAAACACATGAATATGTCAAAAATTTAGATGTTTCTCAATGATTTGATATTTTGACAACATAAGAAGATGCTGCCACATGTATGTGCTAGACCTTCCTGTTAGCTAACGACATTTTTTGGAGGGGGGGTCTGTCTCTTCCAATTATCTTTAAATCTACATCTATTATAGTAAGGATACTCTATACACTTATGTACAGGTTTAAAATTTTTGGAATCTGGAAATACAAAAATATATGTTTATAGTCACCCTCATTTATAGAAATAAAAGAAGCACGTGCTACCTCAGAAGAAAGTGTTTTCTCTATATAATTTCATTTTCCTTCTTTTGAGTATAAGTAGGAGATATAAAGGACTGACAAATAATCTCACCTGGTACATACACTATTCAAACAATAAGATAACAGAGAATTTGAGAAAGCCCGCTATCACTCCCACTGTATCTGCCTGAACTAAGTTGTAGTCGCTTTACAGGTGAGCATGAAGAAGACGGTGTCAGCTTGAACAGGACTAAAGCTGCCGCTGGTGTCAGCAACACTGGAGCATTGTCTTAAGACCCAGAAGCAAGAATAGCAAAGTGCGATGTGATGTGGATAGTGAGCGCTTCTTGAAACTTGTGCTTTTAACACAACCATTTAAAAATCAACAAATTCAGGAGACATAACAGAAGACTGTATGATGTATGAAGCCAGGTTGATTAAACTAATGCATTTAAAAGAAAAACAAAATATGACAGAACATTTCATTATTGACGCGGATATGAGAAAAAGTGTTATGCTGCTATTTATAACGTGTCTTGTGTGTCACGGAATTGAAATATTTCCAAATCATCAATAATTAAAACGATGAGAATCCATCATTTCACTGACATTTACTTCTACACGAAAAGATGGCCTATTTTAAATGTGCTCACACATATTCTTGTCAATCACAAGCTGTCACAGCAAATTATTTCATTTTGTAGACCACATGACAGCAGAAAATCTCTAGGTTTAAATTTAGATCTTAGGTGTAATATCAAGAACTCTTTTCACAAATTTTTTTTTTCAGTGACTACATCTTCACAATACAGTGTATAAAAGACGTAAAATCTGATTCATGATACTCAGTTACACTTCTGGTTAACAAACCTCAGGACTTAAATGAATCACTGTACATGATAACTCTAAAAGCCAAATAGTAGAATAGGTTGGATAGGAAAGAATAGAAATATAAAACTAAAAAACTTCCTAAACAATCAGAGATCCATACATTAAAAGTTAGACATAATAAGTTAGGTCCAAACAAGTTTTTCACCTTATCTTCTTTAAGGCCTTTAAGCAATTGCAGGTGTGAACCATTTCTTATGCTTAGGTTGGCACTGCCTAGAGGTTATATAGGAGCTGAACTCTTATAAACCCCATGAATCTAATGCAAGAGTTTTCACTGTGCCACCATTAGGCAGAAGATTTAAGAAACTGAATACCTAAACTGCATGCCCATAAATCTGAAAACTTTTAAATGACTTTTCAAACAATTCATTAACGACATCTTCACTATTCTAGCAGAATCATTAATAAATTTTAGAATCTCCAAATGTCAGAATTATAAGACCTATTAAGACAGTTGATTATCATCAACAGTCTGTGTAAAAATATTTCTATTTACCCCATAGACTATTAATCTTTCTGCTAAGTATTCAACTTCAAAATGCAAGAATTATTCTAATATTGCATTTTAACAGGGAATGCTTCATGTCAGTTTTGACCTTGGTTTGACCTCTATAGAAAAGCTTTGTGTTTTGAGGTATGTGATGAATAGCTCTGGCTTTCTATTAAATCCAGTGCCACCGGTTGTCAACAGTGATGCTCAAAGGGGTAGTAAAGTAGTTAAAAAAATCAGAGGCATTCTCTAAATCAGTTAATTAGATAATAGATTTAGGCAAAAAAGAAAATCAGAGATTTTTTTGTACATATATTTCTACCCTAGCAAATCTGGAAATAGTTTAAGTAAAACAATTTTCATTATCTATACTGCTTTTCCAAAGAATAAGAAAACAATGAAGTATGGACATATAATTGCCAAAATATACATAGGCTTATTTGGCCTTCCTGTGCCAGAAATGAAGTAAATTTTCCTTTGGAGGATATATTTGATTCACATTGTTGAATAGTGTTCTCAGTTTTAAGGGTTTACAATTTATTTACGCAGTTTATGTTCTTTAAAGACCAGGGCTTCTATCCTTATGCCAGGACTACACAGAGAGTAGGTACTTAATAAATATGTATTGGCCTAAATTTAGATTAAGTTGCATTAAGTTGAATTTAAAATCAGAGATGAAAGAATAATAAAAAAGAAATTAGGCTACCAGCCCCTTTTTTTAACCTGTGTCTGATCTGTCCTAGCTCCCAGCACACAGTATGCTCTTAATGCATGTTTGCTGAATGAATGAAAATAAGCATATTGACATAATGATCACTTGCTAATACAAATGCCTATTGGTTAATTGTATATAAAATATTCATGCTCATTTAGAGAGAGAAAACACTAACACCCAATTCTGCCAACTGTTTTACCCCTATTTATCTGTAGAATGTTCAATTTTCCAATGTCTGAGAATGCTTCCTTACCCTAAATTAATCTACCAACTTCAAAGCTATTCATGCATGTTTTATTCTTATGGTACATTCAGGACAACAGGTTGGCAAATGATTGATTTATCCATAAGACACATGCAAGAAAGGTAAATTTAACTTGGTTTGAAAAAGTGTATGGGACATATATATGAAATATGTACATATATTAATACATGTATAGCATACACACATATATATGAAATCTCCCCACACCCCTCTCAAATTATCTAAATCAAGTGGTACATATATTACCATACATATATACATATATGTGCAATATTTATTTACATTTATATTCTTAATGTTCTGAAAGAAACCAAATACCAGTCTTTAGGCTTATCGAAGTGCTTAACTTAGATGAGTGGCTTTTCCCCCACTATACTTATCCCTAAGTCTTTTTAATGGACATGCGATATGCTAGTCTGTGTCCAAGCTCACCTACAATTTCTTTTCTCAAAAGACAAGGCACATCTGCCACCTGCTCTACTCCGTGTCCCAGCAACAACTGTCGAGCAGCATAAAGATTGATTATCAGTCAAAAACCATTGCACAACACCAGATTTTGGTGGGTTAAGCTTGCTGATCCAGCAAGAGATGGTGTGAAATTTTCAGGAGTGTGTGCCAACATTTTGGTGCTAAAAGAACAGCAGTGCATGTCACAGTGAAACACAGCCAAAGATATGCAGACAAAGCAGAGAAGTTTTTGTTCTGGACTTGGCTTTAAAAAGGATAAAAGAGAGAAACAAAAAATAGGAGGAAATTAGTTTGTACACTTAAAAATCATCCACCAAGCTTACTCCTGTGTGTAACACTGTTATTTTAGGCATACACATCCAGGAAATTTTCTAAGAAGCTTAGCTGTGAACAATTTTTATGTATCTTGTCCACAATACCATTATCATATGAAAGGCAAGTATTTCTTATTAAGAAAAATAATCAAGGATCTTTAGAAAGCACTTATTATATAAATATCTGAACATACAAAACTCAGAAACATTTACCCACAAAGACACATGCTTATCTACAAACAGATGGTTAATGAATAAAAAATAAATGCGGCCATATCTAAAGTTAAAGGAAAATTTGAAAATTAATAGGTCTATTCTATTGTATAGGTAATTTTTACTGAGTATTATAGCAACAAGTTCCTTTACAAGAGCCAAATTACCTTGAACTTTCTACTGAATTCAATAAATTATGTATTTCCTGGTGATCAAACATCATGAAAGAAAAATCTTAGCATTATTTGATATAACATTATAGATAAAGAATTTTCATCACCTCAACCGTAATGAATTCTAGAATTATTTTCCCTCTACTTATGCAATTACTGCCTAGACTTGCCTTTAGTTCACCAGCTTTAAAGCAGTTGCAGAAAAAAATTACTTGTAAAAAGGTATAAAAAGCTTAAGGGAGTACAGCAGTTAGATACACTAAATTCATATGGCAAAGTTGTACCATTTCAATGTAATTACCATATACAGGACTTGATAACAGACTCTAATTATGACATGCTTGGAAGAATATTCTTAGCAGTACTTTCATTTATCTCTTAAAACATATCCTTTACCACTAAAGAAAGAAAAATGTTTTTTATTTAAAAAATCTTCACATTTCTAAAATGTTTGAAATAATGCACTTTAAAAAAATCTTATCTGCAAATCTGTCTGAAAACTGTATCTTTTTATGTTTATATCTTTTATATAATTTATATTAAAATTTCAATTACATATATAAATATATATACATTTCAAGAGAAAAAGAAAAGTCAAGCTGAAGCATTTACCTTATGAAAAATTTTATTAGGAAAATTACATGTATATCAGAATTATGTGTTCATTACTGGCCACATTTTCATAATTATGTTAATGCCACTTGAAAAATGACCAAGAATGTAGTAAATGAATAAACGATACTTGAAACTTTGAACCATTTTCTAAGAGAATAAATCTAATGAATTATGTCTGTTGGGTGTCACAGAAACTAAACAGTAAATTCAATAATCTGATTTAATTTATTATATTTTCACCATTTAACCTCCTGCAGGCTCCCTAATGTCTATTCAGATCTATATTAAATTAAGCACCAATGCTAATGAAGGGCAATAAACGTGGCTGTCAGTGGATTTTTCTTTCATTAACCACATTATCCTCTTACTGAGCTGTAAATGCGTAAACATTAGTTTTGTTAAGCCATGCAAAAAAGACAGGATGGAAATCATTTTTTAATTGCATCCCTCAAGCAATTTACTGTATGTGGGGGTGGGAATTTCTTTTTTCTTTTTTACCTTTAATTTTTTTGAATGGATCTAAAAAGGGCTCTCCCATGGAAACATAAACATCGGCTTCACAGAGTATATCTTCAGGTTTGAGGGCTTCAGTGCCGTCTGCCAGGAACACTCGTCGTGCGGCCTTGTTCAGACGCAGCTTTTCCGTGCACTCCTCCAGCAACTGGAAGGCAGCAAGAGGTAAGAGAAAGTGATTAACAACAAGTAAAGTAACACATTTCCATGAGACAAAAGGTGCTAACAATCAAAATTGAAATTTGAGTCAATTGCCAGAGTTAACTCGGGTGCCTCAACAAATATAGTTACTTTCTAGCAGTTGAAAATAGACAAATAAAAAGTAAATTGTAGCACTAAGAATATAGAATGGTTGTCTAATTATAGTCCTTCTGTTCTATCAGTTAAATGTTCTTATAACTCTAAAAGATATAAAACTATTGTATTTGTTTAACTAAATATATGATTTATATATTGATGAAAAGGGAATGAAATGCCTTTGAGTTCTACGTATACATACGCAATTTACAGATTCATATTACTTAGAAAAAATGTTAACACAGTAAATGTAATTTTTCTCATCTTTCATATTATAAAGAGAGTAAGGGGAGAAACGAAGCACTGAAAACTTTTGAACACTAGTTACCAAGGTGATGGTTGGTGCAGTAACTTTGGCAAAGACTGTTACAGATCCATTTTTGTAAGCTGTTACTCGAATCACTTTGGGTTGAAGTTTATGTCTTTGAGAGATTCTATTCCAATTCTGAGCTGACTGAAATTTTGAAGAGAACTCTGTGACTCTGAAGAGGAAAAAAAAGTAGAAATCGGTAGATGTTAATTAGAAAAAAACATTCCAAAAGATATTATCCTGGATATTTTTTACAGCTATAAGTACTAATGATTGTAAGTATTCTTCAAAAATACTTTTTATAGGCTATAATTGTATATAACTACTTAAGTATTTAAAAACATTTAATATAGGATAAGGTTGTCAAAACTGTTCATGTAAAACACGTATCTCAGAATAAATCCTTTTTGCCATTTTATTTACAAAACGTCTGAACACTCATTTTTATAACTTATATTTATATATTAATTATGTTCTGATAGCAAAGAAATAGCAATATGGTCTTAACATCATAAAATAGTAAATGGCAAAATGTCCCCTCAAGTTTTCATGTTTATCAAAGTTCTTTGATTTTTTAAAAAGATTTCAAATTCAAATAGATAATAACTAAATTTTTTATTCTAAAGTTAATTGTAATTGCTTTCATTTAAAATTGTTTGGATGCAGTAAGAGAAGATTTCTAACTTTTGTCATCAGTCAAAACCAGTGTCAATCCTTCTAATTTTCTCAGCAAAAGTACATGTAAGTGACTAACATGTCAAATTTTTTACTTCAGAGTTTCCAAACTAAGCCTGTTAATCCTTAATGCCAGGGAAGGCAGTGTAAGCATTTTAATGTAAAAACTTAAGGGAAGTTCAAATCACAATATATCCACCTATGAAAATAATGGGAATACTAGGAACGGGAATGGTTTGAATTTTGTTTTATGAACATTGTATTCTATTCAGAAACTCTTAGGTTAAAAGTTTATGATAAAAAATAGTCTATAGTAACAACCTTGATGCAAAAATACACAAAATAGTTTTACAATAAGTTTGTTCCAATAGAATTTTATTTTAAAATAATGGTTAAATATCAGAAGTATACATTTCTATTTTTAAATAAATACCTGGTGAGCAGAGATATTTGATGGTCCTAGACTGATTTCTGCTTCAAACATTTTTTTCAGAGTTTAATATTATCTGAGTTGCAATGTATTTCATGTTTTCCACAAATGTAATTAACAACACTCTACTCCTATGCTTTCAAAAAAAATGAACAAAACAAAAACAGAAACAAAACCCTAGAGATATAGATGTGTTACATTTTAATGTCTGAAATAGTCAATTGAGTCATTATAAATTCTGCCCGGAAGAAAAAGTCTTCAACAGTTGGTTAAAAAGAACAGAAGGCGCTTTGATTACCTCAGTTGACCCGCTGGAGCACTGACAGGCCTGTTTCTCTTGGATGCTGATATAAAACAAGAATTGTTTTTACTGTTTGATTTGTAGCTCTCGGGGTCTGATATCTCATCATGGCTATGATCTGATGCTTTTTGATGTGTGGAGCAATCTTGAAATCCTGACCCTTCTGATATTGCTGCTGAAAGCAAAAGTCTGTTGGGGCCAAACTGAGGCTGCCAATAATCTTCAGTAGTTTTAATAACTGCTTTTGCCTGGGATGACATTAACTCCCTGGAAGAAACAATCCATGGGAGAATACAGTGAATTGATGTGTAACCAGTTATTACAAGGACCACATGATAACTAGTTTTGTGCTATGTGCTAGACAAAATACTATACCTTTAGCCATTGTTTTGTTTAATCCTTACATCATCCCTGGAAAGCAGGTAGTATTTTTATCCCCATTTTCCAGATTTAAGAAATTGTGTCTCAGAGAGGCTAATTAACTTGCCCAAGCACAGGGAGAAACTGAACCCAAGCTTGTCCTAAGATAAAACCAACATTCATACATTAACCTTACTTACTTAAAGAAGAAAGCTGTGCAACCTTTGAGATGATCTAAGTAAAAATTCTAAATTCTTAGATTAACTTTTAAACACTAGCACTCTGCTAAGTATTAGAAAATACAAAAGTTAAAGAGATGTGGCTCCTACCCTTGAGAAACTTGCAACTAACCCCTAATAAAGAGAGAATATATGTCAAACAAACTGCTTAGGACTATGGGTGTGAATTGACTTTAAATGCAAAGAGAATGAATCCCTTGAAGGCAAATTTATGTAGCCTGGAATGAAGTTGGTAAAGGCTTCATAGCAGTCCTGAGATTAGGGTGACTAACTCATCCTGGTCTGTTAAGGACTATTCTGGCTTTGGCACTGAAAGCTACACATCCTGAGGGTTTTAGGTGATATAGCTCTTACCAGAATACACAGAAAGTTAAGAAAGTCACTCCAGGAAGGCACAAGGAGAGTTAGAAAGCCATTCAATGCTCGCAAAGACATACTAGTCACATATGAACAACTCTGGTAAACTGCCACATTTTTTGATTCAGCAACATCATCTCTCCTGTGTCTCTCTTCCTAGATCACCTAACCTACCTCTATCCGCCTCCTCGCTCCTCATGGACTCTGTTAACTTCCTCATGTGCCTCCTCATTTCTATTGCACACTACTTTCTGCAGAGCCTCCTGGCATGAGTTACTCAATTCCTCTGAAATTCATCAATAGCCAGTAAAGGGCATTCCTATTGGGTAGAACTCTCAAGCTTGTTGACCTCAAAAACCACTAGCAAGACTGTGGAGGGGAAACTAACCATCACTGGTCAAAAAAACTATAGCTTGGACCACAGGATAATAAGGTACAGAGGAGTTACAGCAAGATACGCTCTCGGATGTCTCCCAAAGTAGGAATATATAATAGGCAGGGCCTTGCATACCTACTACACTGAGGTAAGCAGACACACTGTACACTGATCGACTGAAAAATGCTCACTAAAATACTTCACGCAATTTAGCTTACTATCAAATGTTTTTAAATTTAACAACTACTCAAAGGCTATTCTGCTTCTTCTGATTATCTTAAAACTAGTCATTCACTTCTAATCATAAACAGAAGAATGTAATACTGCAATTGTGAGTCCAGTCCTGAGCCATCTGGACCAATACTTTGTGTCAGTGTTGGCCCAAAGCGATGTGTGTGATAGGATTGCCCTTAATGCCAAACTTCAGGGCGAGCAAATAAACTCTCAGCACGGTAACACCATTGTTTTAATACAGGACTTATCACCCCTCAAAATCCTTCCCATTTATTTTCTGGGTCCCCAAAGTAGTACGTTATAAATTCCTAAAAGTGCCACCCAAGTTTCTATAAAAATTTGTTGGTGTGAGTCACAGCTGTTTCGTCTCTTCACTGCTGTCACTAACCATCCGAGAACGACGAGATCCCGGGCAAGGTGCTGCCTTGCAGGGTTCCCAAACAGTCCTGTGCTTGGGACGTCACTGCTGTTTAGTGCAGGGGTGGGGAGGAGAAACGCTTCCCTAACCCTGCCCCATATCGTCACATGGACCCTGAAGCAGCTCAAGTTGTAAGCAGAGTCCCCCAGTATCTTCCTAGAGCAGTTCCATCAGCTTTTAGCCCTGACTTGCTCAATTATGGGTATTCTAGCCCAGGCCAGAGGCCAGACAAGGAATAAAAGGTATATCATATGGATAAAATAATAACAATACTAATAGCTAAGACTTACAGAGCACTTCTTTTGACAGTCACTGTTTTAAGCACTTACAGCTTCATTTAATCCACAAACAGCCCTATTTTCCCCCTTTTACAGATGAGTAAACTGAGGGCTTAAGTAACTTGCCAAAGGTCACACAGCGGGCAGGAGTCAGACACGTGATTCAAAGCCAGGAAGTTTGGCTACACAATCTCTGCACTAAACCATAATCCTACAATATTATTCTCATTAACACTAAAGCATCCTTATTTTCCATTAGTTATAAAATTGAAATTCCTTTTCAAGAGTTCAGGGAAAAGGAGAGCCACAAGATGGGGAATTGAAATTTAGAACCTGGTAGGGCAATGGGGTGGTGGGCAAAGGCAGTAGATCTACATTAGCAGTGGCCAACCGGGAGCGCTCTTTAATTAATATATGAGGTCTGTCCAGAAGGTATCCAGCCTTGTGCTGTGAGAAATAGAGACAGTTATTGAAGAAGATACAAGATACAAGAAACAGTGTACATAGGACGATGACACCTCAGTTCCCTTCAAAGTAGGCACCTTAGGACTTCACACAGTTCTCCCAATCGCCATCAGCTGTCCCGTCCTATTTTCCTGGATCTCACAGACAGCCTGAAATCTCTGCCCTTTCAAAGGTGACTTTAGTTTCAGAAAAAGCGAGAAGTCATAGGGTACTAAATCTGAACTACAAGAGGGGCTGAGTCACCTGGATGATTTGATATTTCACCAAAAAACTCTGCGCGTGGTATGATGCATGAAGGGGGGTATGTTGTCGTGATGAAACTGCCGGTCACCAGCTGCCCACAGCTGCAGCCTTCTGAAACATCCAGATAGTTTCTGCAGAGGAATGTTCAAGCTTCACGCAGAATTTGATGCAGATTTATTGCTCTACTTGCTCAGTCACTTTGAACGCAATGTCCACACAGTGCATATGCTCACTCAATGGTGTCTACCACTCCCACTGTGTACAGTGAGGTCATCATTGTTCACACGTGCTCATTCCAGTCCACTCTCCTTGGCTGCCAAGTTACATCGATGTTATGCAAACCATTCTCATTATATTAACAATGGCTGCACTTTTTCCAGACAGACCTTGTACCTACAATACCTAGATGGTATTTAAGTAACCATAATTGTAGTCTCCCCATTTTTCTTTCTTCCTCTTGTTTCTCCCCACCTTTTTTTCTTTAAAAGATTCTTTTTCCTATGTGAAAAAATCTCTTATAAATCCTATTTCATTCAGATTTATTAAAGTGAACTTCCTCTACGTCCAGATTCATATATACAACTTCATAGTTATCTTCTTCCCAAAGACCGTTTTCTGCCTTTGGAGACTTTAGCCTGTTTACATGTCGTATACATTCACATAGTAATCTCCTTCACCAAGACTGCCTTTGTCTTTTAATTGAGAAATTAGCTTGTTTACAATGAATATATATTAACATAGTTATCTCACCATGACAGTCTTTGTCTTTTAATTAAAAACTTAGCCTGTAATCTGACAATTTGTTTTCAATTTTTCCTATCTGTCCTATATTCTTTTATTTTTCCTTAGGTTTAAATATTTTTGATATTATTTCATTTCCCTTATATTAGGTTGTTATGCTACATTGTTTAACCTTATTTTTAGTGGAAACACTAGATATTACAATATGAGTACAAGGCAAGAACCTTAGAACATATCATATCCATTTATTGTACTTATCTTTCATGGCTTGGGATTTTATGTAGGGGGCTCAGCTCCAAAATCCTGCCTTGCATGGGCTTAAGGATGCGCATCCTGTCTTTCCTGTGCTTTTATGAATTATTAATTATATAAATTTTACATTATAATTTAAGATCTACACTTTGCTATAGTTTTCTTTTATAAGATTTGATGAGTTGTATGATAGTTTTCTTGAACTTTGTTTCTCCCAACTGATACTAAATTTAGTTTAGTGCTATGGTTACTTTTATTTATTGGCTCATCTTAAGCCTCCATGGATGGGAGTAGGAATTCCATGCAAATTCCTGAAACCAACTGTTTTAGGAAATGGTCCTTTATCCAAAAAAGTATAACCTCACTTTGTCCTCACTTACTGATGAGGCTTTCTACCACATCCTGGAACTTGAGCTCATTTTATAAAACAGATCCTATTTTTTACATTCTATGTCAGTCTTACTATCTTGTTCTGGAAGTCTCCTATGTCTTTACTGTAGATCTTTCACTATATCTGTAAATAATTCATATATACACAGACTTCAAGTAGCTCCTTCTTCAGTATGATCTCTATGTTACCCACGTACATAGGAATGTACTCCTGTTCTGTGCACTGACGTCTGCCCTGGTAGATTTGATAGCTGGAATCACTATATCTCATTAATTATTTCCTGCCATCTAAAACGCTAGACCTAAATTTCTTTCAAATATTTCAATTCATTCACTGCATTATTATTTTTATGACTGGTATAAAAGCATTTTTCAGCCTGAAAACTAAAAGTCACTATATTAAGTTGACACAGAACATCAATCATATTTTCAAAAATATACCTTTTTTTTTAGAGTTTTATTTATTTATTTTTAGAGAGGCGAAGGGAGTGATAAATGGAGGGAAACTGATGTGTGAGAGAAACATTGATCAATTGTCTCCTGTATGCCTCCAACTGGGAACCTGATCCACAACCCAGGCAGGTGCCCTGACTGGAAATCAAACCAGTAACATTTTGGTTCATAGGCTGGCACTCAGTACACTGAGCCACACCAGCCAGGGCAAAAAATACACCTTTTAAAAGAACATCCATCCATCCATCTATCTATTGAACATCTATCTTAGTTTTCTATTGCTGTGCAATGAATTACCACAAATTTAGTGGCTTAAAACAGCACCTATTTTTTACTGCACCATTTCCATGTATCAGGAGCCTGGGCAATGCTTCGGCAATGCTCTGCTCAGAATCTCAGAATAACAAAATCAAGCTGCCAGCTGGGGCTATGGTCTCACCTGATGCTCAGGGTTTTCTCCT